AGAGAGACACCAGCGTCGAGTGTTTATTTATGCATACAGCAAATTAATAATAAGCTGCTTAAGATTGGTTTTAAGGCAGCTGCCGCTGACAAGACTAATCAGACAACGTGTTACACCTCCAAAGAAAAAACCTGCAAAGAAAAAATACAACTTTACAACACTCAATTTGACGCACCTAACCTCAACTCCCTCATAAAATAAAAGGTACGCAATTTGTTGTTGGCGCTCTTTGGCACGTTTTAATCTTAATTTGAGTTGCTTTTCATTTTTTAACAGCTCTTTTGTTGGGTTTACTTTTAATTATTGAGTTGTGAAACTTATAATCTCGGTTCAGTTCAGTTAAGTTCGGCTCTTTTTTTTCTTTCTCTGCTCGCCTTTTACGATGAGTATGCAAATTTGTGCAGCTTTATTTGCTGCGCGCTTCCCACAGTTATTTTTTATGCGCCATTGTTAAGTTAACTGAAGAAAAAAAAAATAAAAAAAAAAAACAAGAAGCTGGAACTATTTTTTATAACTTGGTCTGAAAGCCTTAGAACTCTCCATTTCATGCAATTAGATCTCCGAGAGAGCGTTGCATATATTCGTTATGATTGCCATCGCTGAATAATTCATGTGCATAAAAGCGAAAATCCCCTAACTCAGTTCCATATAACAAATAAAAATAGTAAGAATAAATGCTCTTCAAGACTAGACCATAGAGAAAAAATATTTCATTCATTTTCATTCACAGCTACTTTTCAATGTGCAACCACAGGCAATAGCCGGAGTTCAATAGAAATTGAAAATCTCAACAAATCTCGGCTCTCACTCTAACCCAATCTCTCGCAGCCTCTCTCTCTCTCTCTCTCTCTCTCTCTCTCGCTCTCTCCCGCTCTGTTTGCCATGTCTGCTATAATTCAATTTTCCGTGCGAAAAAAGGAAAAGCGTTTTCATTAAAATTCAACTGCATCAGCAAAATTGTAACACTGGCCGCACACCACACACACACACACACAATACCACCACACACAACACCCTGCGTGTGTGCATAGGTACCACAAAACCAGCAGCAAATCAATTGGAATTGAACTTCTCTATTCAACGGCCATTTCATGCCAAATTGATTGTGAGAATTTAATTAATTTTTTATCATATTATTATTATTGAAAAATACCTCAATTATCATGAATAGTTTCTACTGTCTGTCATATCATTTATATTTTTGATTTAAGCGTGCAACTTATTTTTGATTTATTTTACCAAGTGGATTTCTATTTACGAGAAGCATATTTATTGCCAGGCACAGCTCTTGTGTGGTACGATTGGTGTGAAGAGTCCGTATTGAAGCGCATTTGAAATGCAACCGATTCAAATATTGCATTTTATCTAATGACTCTTGCTGAAAGCTGAAAGTGTATGGCAGTCGTAATTCAATAAAGCTATCAGCTCTTAGATATTCACTTCGTGCGCATAAAGCTTTTCAAAAATATCAATCAATAAAGTTGACCTCTTAGAGTTATGCTGAATTGTTCACAGCTAAGTAAATATATGGCACCTAAAGTCTCGAAGATGTTAGCTTAGAGCGCATATATTTTTTAATTAGCTTGATGCTTGTCAGTATGATCACCTCAGCAAAACCCTAATGAAAAACCTTACCATGAACAAGCTTTTCGTTTCTTTTCTTTTGACTCAACCAGAACATTATTCTGCTAAATGTAAAGCTCCCTTTTCAGTAACATAATCCTGGCTGTAATAAACTTTTCGATTCTCTTTAGCGTTTCACTCTCTTTCAAGATTAATCAAAAGCTCAAGTAACCAAATAAAACAAAGAGCTTATAAAGCATTTTGAAAGAAGATGTTAAATAAATATGAACTAAATATTTATTGATAACTGTAAAGCTTATGTTAAAATCTATCTTAAGGTCATTCAATCTGATAGTTATAGCCGAAGCTTCAATTTAAAGCTTTACCTTTTTGCTAACTCAAAGATGCTTTTAACGTGCTTTTGAAAGCTTATTGCTAATTTCAGCTGAAGTATTGGCCATAAAATTGTTAATGAATAACGCTTGATAAAACATTTAGAAATTTCGCAGAAATTACGCTCGGTGTAATATATTTTAAATGATTGTTATGAATATTGCGACTCGTTTGCTATAAATGCAAAATGCTCCAACGAATTACTATTTATACACTTTTACATATTTCGGTAAGGCCAAGTGTGGCCTGGGGTAAGGGGGTAACATTGTTGCACGGCTGCACAAGTTGTTGTTCTCGAAGAGCCTCCACTCCAGCACCGACACCGACGCCGACTCCGACTCTCGACATGTACACAAAACAATTATAGCCCGTAGGTAATTTAGTGGCGGAATATTTACGAGTACCAGCAAAAGGCGCAAAAAACAAAAACAGAAAAAAATAAAAGGAAAGAAATACTGGTAAGAGAAGAAATGTTTTATGTGCTGGCCACGAGGCAAAAATGTTGCTTTGGCTATGGCAACGGAGTGCGCTTAAAATAATTTCAGTTAAACATGGCCCACATAACGAGAGTTAGTTTCCACTTGGGATGGGCATTTGAAGGAGTCGCCTTTGGGCACAGTCTTGTGTTTACCGCCTCGGTATGTAGGCAATTTTCATGTCTGAAGTTGCGCAGTTGAATTCAACTAAACGCCTTGTTGGCTGTCATTCGAGTAAAGTTTTTGCTGCTTGGCTAAAACGCTTGCCTGCAAATGGCTTAAAGTGCTACAGTCGAGTGTTGAGTGGCTTTGGGAAGGGGAAATGATTATGTGATAAGATGTTGTTGGCTGTATGACAGTTGGCAGCGAGCAGTCGACACAAGTGTAAATGTTGTCTTGTTATAATTGATATTGATAACAGGAAACAGTTGCGGTTCCGAAACAAAAGAGCATTTGCTATAGAAAGCCCAATGTTTATTAACCGCCAATAAAACAAATTCATATTAATTGAAATTTATATAAATATAAATACTTATAATTTGTTTGCCCTGCCTGTCATCGCACATCCTAAGCAGTAAATGATTCGACAATCAAGTGGTCGAAAGCCGACTGTAAAGTTGTATGAAAAGCCTGCGTAGCTTTAGTGTCTAAGTGTCGGATTAACCGACGTTAGAAATTTAAACAATTTACATATAAACAAATAATAAACTTTAAACATTTTTAGCCACATCATATTTCGTGAAAATAAAGACCGATCTGGGAAAGGTGTGGTGTTTTGGACTCGTAAAGGTGTAAAGAATGGATTGCAAACAAAAAGTTTGGACTTTTATCTTATTTGTCCTGATCCACACGAGGCTAATATGCCATATTTATCAAATCTGGTCAAATTTTTCCAAGCTATTTCAGCAAAGGTGGGACCATGGAAGCCTGTTCAAGCGAAAGGCTGGACAACACTTAGCAAACCCTATATCTAACAAGGTCATCAGAAGAGCAGAGCTATTAATGCCAAGCGACTTTTGTTTCTGCGAAGCTCGCGAGCATATAAATAATCGAAAGCAATGGCTCCTAGCTGACCTCTACATCTTTGATACTAAGATAGCATAGTTATTGTCCTTGTAAACCTAAATAACAGAATACTAGCATAATGTTCAGGAATATGTTCGAGACATATGCACGCTCTTGATTTCAGCCGCCCGCAGCACCAGCCCCTCCCTCCGTTCTCATGGTTCCTAGTTGACCCATATATCCTTGGTTCTACCATACCATGGATATAGTCCTGGTGACCTAAAAAGTCCGTATCGCTACGAAATTCGCACATAAATAGTGCAGAATTATATCATGCATGCATTTTTTCAGCCGCCCCCAGCAGCAGCCACGCCTGCTCAACGGTACCTAGTCGACCCAAATATCCTTGGTTTACCATACCATAGATATAGTCCTAGTGAACCTAAAACACTAGATCTCTGCGAAATTCGCATTGGAATAGTCAAAAAACATGCAAGTTTTTCTTTCAGCAGCCTCTTTACATGCCCCTTAACAGCCGTCTTTACAGTACCCCCTTTACAGAGGCCACGGCTGCTGCTTAACACCCAACTGTTACATTTAACATTTCTGGCCCTTGCGCGTATGCAATGAATTTTTTATTCCCAAAAATGTCGTTCACTTGCTGGGCATTTCTGTTCGCCTGGTATTTCAGCTGAGTTTGTAGCCAAATCCGGCAACCCAACGGCCTTTTAAAATCAGACATTATTTATTTACCCAAGATTATCATCGAATTTGAAGGAGATATGTCGTTTTGGAACGTCATATCTCCACGCGGAGTTATGTCGTTTTGGAACGCCATATCTCCGCGTGGAGTTATGTCCGCGTGGAGCTATGTCGTTTTGGAACGTCATATCTCCGCGCGGAGGTATGTCGTTTTGGAACGTCATATCTCCGCGCGGAGGTATGTCGTTTTGGAACGTCATATCTCCGCGCGGAGGTATGTCGTTTTGGAACGTCATATCTCCGCGCGGAGGTATGTCGTTTTGGAACGTCATATCTCCGCGCGGAGTTATGTCCGCGTGGAGTTTTGTCGTTTTGGAACGTCATATCTCCGCGCGGAGGTATGTCGTTTTGGAACGTCATATCTCCGCGCGGAGGTATGTCGTTTTGGAACGTCATATCTCCGCGCGGAGGTATGTCGTTTTGGAACGTCATATCTCCGCGCGGAGGTATGTCGTTTTGGAACGTCATACCTCCGCGCGGAGTTATGTCCTAAATTAATCATCGATGGGTTGAAAAATGTTGTTGACAAAAAACCGATTCGTTCGTAAATACAACCTTTTTGATGATTTTTTTGGAATATTTCCGTCAAATAATTTTAATTTTATACCATTTTTGACTCGTAAGGGTCCGTTCTAACGATTGGCATCAAAAAAGGGACCCAAATCGACAAATTGGCAAGGGTCATATAAAATAAAAACACAGCAGATTGCTTTTTATTTTATATAATTTATTTTTCTAAAAGCATTATACATAGTTTTTATTTATTTTATTTATATATTATATATATCTCTTAAAATAAACAAATACATATTAAACCTATAATCGTTACAAATTATATTTGAATTGTGGATATATGTTTCGCCTAAGCCTACAATGACTTTATCCCGGGCTATTGAACTCCAATCCTGGATACTTGCGCCCTTAAGGACTCGTCGTAGTTTCCAGGATCAGTTGGAATTTTGAATTCTTTAGTCTGAAAAGATATAAATAAATTTAAAAAAAAAATTATTTTGAGTCATCTCTTAGAATGTGGATTGGACGGCATGGAATGTGGATGGCAATCGATAGTCGGGATCAGTACGAGTAGAAAGAGGTACATCCCTCCGAAATCGGAAATCGGATTATTAACGTACAAATTTTGAAAGTTCAAAACCGACGCCATCGAAAGTTCTACTCCGTACAATCCGTATTTACAAAATAAGCCTTGTGACTTTGTAACCCTGTCAAATGGTATACAATCAAGAGGATTATTTAATATACAAAGTAAGTACGCTACCAAATTGGAACGGTTGAAGAGTGGTTTTTAATTACAACTCTTTCCTCTAAACAAAGGTTGTGCTCTCCGTGAAGGCGCCACAGAGTCTTAGCTTGTCGCCCGTAACAATCGCTCGCATAAACTGTGGCCCCAGATAGAGACCCTTTTCGGTTGATTTCGTATCACCATCCAGACGTATAACATAATCTTTGCTGATTAACCGATTGGATATATCCTCTTCGAGTTTAGGACTCAATATATCATACAAGCTGCCACTGCTGCACAGCACATCGCCCGCAGCTCCGCGCTTTTTATCCACAATTGTGCAGCTATTATCATTCTTGAGTATTTCCTCAAACTGTCGCTTGATCTCTGTCAGTGAGCTGCATTTTGGATAGCCAGCGAGTCGTTCAAAGCACTTGAACTGATAGAAACGACGCTCCAGCTCTGCCAGATCATCGAGTAGATTCCTAACATTGGGCAGCTCATTCGTGTGGGCACGCGAGACGCGACACAATTCATTTAAAAGCTGTTCGATGTGGCTGCTAAACAGATCCTCCACGTGGGCATTGCTGTAGATGTCCTGAAGGAGTAGAGATAAAATATATATATTGTGTGAAACGTAAATATAGTAAACAAGTAAGAGGTTCTAGTCGGGAGCTCCCGACTAGGGGATACTCTGAACCCTCTTCTTCCAACAGCATATGCATATATATATATATTCTATTTTAAATATATATATATATATTCTTATTATTTACCAAAATTGCCCAAAAAACAGGATATCGATATCGATTTTATCGATCGCTTGAACACGGAGTAAGTTATCGATTATCGGAAACAAACTCGATCTGCGCAGGCACTAGGAGCAACTACATCTTGCGTTCATACATACGGACGGACGGACGGGCGGACGGACAGCCAGACGGACATGGCTAGATCGACCCGGCTATTGATGCTGATCAAAAATATATATATACTTTATGGGGTGGGAGATGCTTCTGCCTGTTACATACATTTGGATTTTGCACAAATACAATATACCCTTATACCCATTTTTAATGGGTTCAGGGTATAAAAATCCAACTATGTAAATAATAACTTTTGTGAAAGCAAACTAAAAATTTGTCTTGGCCAAATTCTTTCGACAAGCTTTGTATATTGCAAAAGTATCTTCATGTTCGGCTTACATCTACCATAACTTACAATTAACTTCAGTATGGCCGTGTGCAGCGTGGGTATAATAGTCAGTCCATAGATCTCGCTCATATTACGCGTTTCCAGATAGTGTAACACTTTTAGCGCCTCATTGGTGTCATCGAAGAGGCGTCGCTGTCTGGCAACTGGAGTCGGCTGTGCCTGATGCCATACCTTTTGCCAGGTATTGCCCTCGGTTGTCATGCGCACGCTCAACTGATGCACAGTCTCTCCACTTTCTGGAGCGTTAATATATTAATAGATATATTATCGTTGCAGACGCATCGCTAACTTTACTTCCTTACCATTCTGCACCTGCTCCCAGTCTTTGGGACTATACCAGCGTATAAAGTCCTCCATTTTGCCGCGCGGATTGGCCGCCTTGAATGCTTCCATATCGGACAAAAGCGAAGTGCACATCATTTGTGTGCTCAAGCCCGAACCGGGTCCCAGTTTTAGCATTACTTCCGCGTCGTCCTGCAGCTGATCTTCTGTTTTGGGCACCGGCTCTTGCGTTTCTGGTATATACAGAAACTCTTCGGGTTCGTCTAGCAAATGCTCTTGGCCCAAACGCTTCAAGCGACCCTCTGGCTTGAGGCTAAGCACGGCTTTAGTTGGTGAGCCGCTTGCGGAAGTTGGTTCGTCGCAGTCAAAAAATTCGACATCATCCTCCTCGTCCTCATCCGTTAACAGCTGCTCCTCCACAACCTTCTGCTGCTGCTGTTTACGCCTGCCAAGCGCCTCGCGCTGCAGGCGACGCTCCACGCAAACGTTGAGCATCTGCAGCTTTTGGTGCAGCAGACAGGTGCGTGTATCCGGAAAACCAGGTGCAACGCTGTGCAAAGAGATTTCGGTTAAAGAGCAATGCAAGCGTAAATTAAGCAATATTTGTACAGTTTGTATTGTGAAAAGCAATTTAATTTAAATCAGATTGTTTGGATCATAAAATTCGCAAATTGCAGTACAGCAAAAGCTTAAATAAAAGCGAATAAAAACAGTCCTGAAAACATACAATAGTTGTTGAAAAGTTGCGCATCTAACAACGCAAGACGCAAAATTCATGATCTGACAACAACTAATAACACACAAGGGCACATCAGCTATTACAAAGTTATAAACTTCAGACTTATCGATAATATTGCAAATATATGGATAATGTAAGACAAAATAAAATACTGTGATGGTATATGCCGAACTTCTTAATAATAGCTACTTAAGATAATTAATTACAAGTATTTATAAACATGAAAACATGATACATGATCAATATCGATAAATGTGTTAATAACTGGAAACATTTTAAATATGTTATAATTTATCGATAAGTGTATAACTAACTGGCAGCCCTCAAAGCTTCGACCTGTCAACTCTGATCTGTAAGTCCTATGTTAAGAATTTAAATACTTGGCAACTTCAGGACATAAAAGAAAAGTGAGAATTCATTTTTAACTGCTAGAAGTTAGGTAACTGTTCGCGAAACCAAAGACTAAGGATAAAATTCAAAGTGGTTAACAGTTTGTTTAAGCCTTTTTCTTAATGATAAGTTTTTCAATGAACATCTGATGTTATGAAGTGCAGCAAAGTTAGAAATATTTACAGCTCATTTGTTAAGCTCTTAAACTTTCATTCAATTTGAATATTCTCATCAAGCAGTTCAGATAATTTAAGCGGTACGTGTTGATATGCATCTATTTACAAAATTGCGTTGTGATATATTCCAAACAAAATAAACCTTTTTTAAGAATTTTGCATACCCTTAACAAAGACGGCGATTTGAAGTGAGTTGAGCTGAGCCCCTTTTCGAGCCAACAGCAAAGTGGCAATAAAGGCGTCAGCTGTCGGTGTCTATGCCAATGACAATGGCAACCTACATATGATACACACATATATATATATATATATATATATATATATATACGCCCAACTATATCTTTAATCCACGACACGCACTGTCTAAAGACACACAGACAGAGAGAGAAAGAGAGGGAGAGATGGAGGGAACGCGACTTTGTCACCGTCGTCTCTGCCGCCTGGCACATTTGGTATTCACGCTGTTTCATCCGCTTTTGTGTGGTGCGTGGCTTTCGGCTTGTGCATAGCAAATGAGCTCCTCTTGAGGGGCAACGGGAGAGGAGCTGCTGTTCCCGTGAGTCATGGACAAAGAGTTTATTGAACTTCAAGTAGTGGCGATTTGAACAGTTATGTGTTGCCTGCATAACGCTTCTTCTTGTTTTGGCCAGCAACGGAACTGACTTATTTGGCCAGCAGCGGATGTGTCCAGCAAATTGCTGCGCCCAACCCCCAGCTCTACTCTTTTCTATTGTGCATTTGCATAAAGTTTGCTTATGAGTTTTGCATGGACAGGCGCTGCAGCTGCTTAAAAGCTTTTTAAAGCGGCTAAAAACCAATTGACAAGCATTTCGGCCAACAACTGCTACCAGAATGCTGACCACAATAGAGCTAGCTGCCCTTAGCTGGTATCTTGTTGGCCAGTTTAAGCTCAAGTGCCCTGTGCACATCATTAATTGTTTCGGAGGGCGGAGGAGCCGGGCTGAGGTGAACCTCGTCAGGACAACGCCCCCGGCCATAAACTGGCCAAATAAATGAGCTAACGTTACGTTTTAGTTTGTGGCCAGAGCATAACAATTTGTTTTGGCCCATTTTATTTTTGGCCAAGTCACTTTATAGTTCTATTTATTTCCCAAGCCAAGATGTTGAATATATAAGCACACACTCAACATGCGCTAGTTGCCAAGGTCTTAGCCTTAAAGAGGCCTATGAGAGTTAAGAGACTTTGACAAAAAATATATTGCCTATTTTTGGCTTTGGTTATTTAAGGAACTTTCAATTAAATAGATAAAAAGTTGTTACCCGTCATAGCTTATTTTTTTTTAATCATATTTAAGCTAAATTTACTGGGAAAATAAACAATTATATTGCTGCAAAATATAATTGTTTATAAGTAGAGAATTTTTATCAATAATTTATGTTCATAATTTTATTTTTATCGCATATTTTTTGAATTGTTTATCAGCATATATCAATAATCGAAGCTACTTTCAAATATTATTTATATATGTTAGGCTATGAGAGATTTAAAGCACAGGGAAGCATCAAGCTGTTTTTTAGGGTTTCAAAATGGCTCTCAAAATTGTTTTTTTGACAAGCTAAGATTGTTGTGAAAATGGCAGGAGATCTTAAGAAAAAAAGAAATGATTAACTGATTCTATGTATAATATACCCGAATGTATATGCTTTTGTAGTTACCGGAGGTCGACGCGTTAATAAAAGACTATTTTCTAGTCGAAATTCGAAAATTCTGCATAGTTTCCCATACCTCGCACGATTAAGCTAATCAAATTTCGCTGACTGAAATTTTTTTTTTTTTTTTTAGCTATTTCCTTTTAAAATGTATTTCTATATTTGTATAGACCCAATTGGGGTGCTCTGAAAGGTTCTCTAAGCAGGCGCCAGCTGTGAAATGGAAAGTGATTTATGGCATTGTTAACAATTTGGCCATCGACAGATAAGAGTCATACGTGTATTTCTTTAAGCTTATATATATCATATACCATATATATATATATATATATATATATATATATGTTTTTCTATGGATTCAGGTGACCAGATTTTCGTTAAGCTTGGACTTTACAGAGATTGATTTATCAATGTGTCAGACTATAATGCCACAAAGTCATAGTCATATAGCTGGTTCAATCTCTACGTATTTGATATTATTAATCTAATCTGTGGGTATTTCCTCTGGGCATGTTCTTCAATAATGAATTAAGATTTCCATTGGCTTATCAAGCAGCAGATCCTTTGATATAAAAGCAAGCAAGCACAGTTGTGGCTGAACTTGTTTTCTGATTAGTTAGCAGCCAGCTGGCAGACAGAACGGAACAGAAAGTCGCAATGAAAGGTGGGTGCTGGCTACTAATTGACATCTTCTAATATGTGAACTGAGTGCTTTGAACATTCGCAGCGGGCAGCAGCCTTGTGGCACTCTTGATCTTGGGCCTGTGTGGGTTGGGCCAGAGCCAGCGCATTGAGGATATATGCACGCTCTTCTCGAATAATACGGTTATACGTGATCCGGAGTCGTGCAGTCGTTCGATAACCTGCATCGATGGCAAAAGCGTCTATAGCACCTGCAAGGGCACCACGCCGTTCTTCGACAAGGATACGCTGAAGTGCGTCAAGACGCTGGACGGATCAGATAGTTGTGATGTAACCTGTGCGAATGCGACTGGCCTATTTATATCAGATCCAAAGTCATGCTTCGGCTACTATTATTGCATGGATGAGGAAACGCCCGTTTATGGCGCCTGCCCGGACTCTACGCACTTCAATGAGACCATACAGGAGTGCACCTGGAGTCATGCCTCCGAGTGCAAGGCGAGCAGCTTTGACTACTGCAGCATCATCAAGAACGGTGTCAACTTTGACAATCTGCAGGGCTGTAATCGGTATCATGTGTGCACTAAGGGCGAACTGAAGGATGAGACCTGCAAGACGGGCTACTATCAGGCCAGAACTGGAACATGTGTGGACAAGAATCTAGTCGAATGTGATGTGCATCCCTTACCCAGCAATGTGTGCGGCACAGCGAAGAGTCCCAAAAAGAATGAATTGGTGCCAGATGGTGCCACCTGCCAGGGTTATTTCTTTTGCGCCGAACAGGCCAATGGCACACCCGATGAGAATCCAACGTGGGGCAAATGCGGCGATGATTTGTTCTTTGACAAGAGCTCACAGAAGTGCATTGAGCCCAACAAGGTGGTCTGCTCGGAGGATCGCTGCCAGGGGCGCACCATTCCCTTCGTTTTGAGCTCCACCAAGGGCTGTCGCCACTATTTGCGCTGTGCCGATGGTCGCACCATTGACGAGAAGACCTGCGGTAATTATTTTTTCGATGAAGCCAACGCCGTTTGTGTGGCTCAGATTTTAACCTATGCCATATGCTAGTTATACCAGTTATCGGCATTATGAAATAGATCTTATTTTCAAGAGCATATTTTTTTGAACTCTTTTAAAAGATTATTAATTATAAAGCGGAAGCTTAAAAGAGTTTTATAAGCGAAACATTGAAGATTGCCAAATAATTAAGCATTTAATGTTTTTCTTAGAATTCCCAAAGAGTTTTAGCTGGCAGGATTATAAGCACTTGATATTTTTTAAGTTTAAGTCTTAGGAAATTAAATACATTTCGTTGAAATGATTTACAAAACCGTTTGACTTTCTAGAATTCACAGGTTTATAGAAAGCAATAAAAATTTTGCTTGACTTAATCGACCACAATAATCTTAGCTATTTAGGATTATCTAATCGTGGTCTCACAATGCAAACAATAAGCCCTCATATATCATATGGCGGCCCAACACTTTGTTTAGTTAAGAAATCAAAAGCCTCGCAGCAAATTATTGTAAACGTCTGAAATGTTTATGGGCCCAATTGCAGATATGATCCGCTGCTTGTTATTAATTATTTTGATAGAACAATTAATTAGCTACATATTACTGTAGTGATTGATAAGTATCTTATCTAAAATAGGATCTTCAGGTAAAACCTTGGGCGTACATTTAGATTTAGACTAAAGTTTTTTATACACAAGCAAGGCATATTGATAGCTCTGTTGATAGACAATCTGGCAGTTCTTAATCGCAATTTTAAGATGTATAAATAAAAATTAATAATCGATAGTTTTGTTTTCCTAACAAGTTAACTTGATTAGAAATCACAACTAGCTGCTTATCAGACATTTTCAATTAGTTTAAACAGCCTTTCGAACAGAACATGATTGATAGAGTAAGCTTTCCAGGCCGATTAACTTTGATAGACTTGGCAGGAGTTTCCGAAATGATCGATAAGTGCACTTATTAACAGTCTGGCAACTGCAATTAGTACAAATTTAATTTGCTTTTGAGATTTGAGAACCTTTTCATTTAATTTCCAGGCATTTTAGCACCCAAAAGGAACTTTAACAGACTCATGAATGGCTTCTAATAATATTAGACCCAAGGAATTTTCATGAACTTTTTCAATTTTAATGCGTGCGATGACCTGAAAGATTAGTTCAGCTAACACTTTCACACCTGCCCACACCCACACACACACACACACTTCCAGTCATATACGTAAACTTTTCAATTGACAACTTTTCGTCTTTAGTATACCCAAAAAAAGAGAAGAAAAAGGAGAACAAACTTTTTACACCTGCAAATTCTAATCCACTTAAATGCTTAACAGCATTATCATGCGGTCGCCCAGCCACGCCCACAATGTGGCCACTCCCACCCACTAAAAACTGTGCCGGCAGCAAAAACAACTTCTCGCCCATTGTTGAAAAAAAAAAAAACTTCAATTAAATCTCGTTTTAAGTGAGAGGCTCAGGACCGAAGGGAAAAATTGTTTGTAAGCTGTCCCAAAATAGATGGGCAAAAAAAAAAAACAAACAAGAAGCAGAACGAGAAAAATTTGTAGCTTTGCCTCGGACCCGCTCGGGCATTGTCTAAAAATGCAAATTTAGCCGAAAAAAGACAAAAAGTGAATAATTATGCGGCGAGAAAAAAACATTTACACCTTCAATTGGGTAGAGAAAAATGTATTTTCCTCTGTTTTTTTTTGGCTAAAACTTTGCAGCACAACTGTACTTGATTCGTTTTTCATTCACTACTTTTGTGTCTTGCAATTTTCGCACTTTCGCGCATTAAAAATGTTTGTGATGCAATTAATGCGACCGGCGGCAGCAGAGGAAAAACTCTGCAGAGCGAACAAAAAAAAAATGGGTGCAAGAATTTTTTAATTAAATTTTGCGGCCGGACAGCTGAGTGAGAAATGAGCGCCGAATGGCAGGGGCCTTGGCAGGGGTTGGGGTTGGGGGTGCCAAGAGGAATGCACACTCAAGCGCAAAATATTTGCTGGCCACGTAATGCAATTTAGACTTGAATTGGACAAAACATAGGCAAGCAGCACACAAATGATGGGGAAAAAACAAAAACAAAGAAGCGCGCAAATCGCGTGACAAAATCAAGTCAAGCGAACGACATTTTGAGCCGCAGGGCAGGAAAAATCGACAAGAAAGACATCTGCTGAAAAACTATCAATCAAAAGACAAAATGTTGATTATTATTATTAAAAAGCGGAGGAGCGAAGCGTGCAGCTTAATTTATTTATTATTATTATATTTATTTGTGGTCTTGTGGCTGTAAAACAAATCAATGAAGCGTTCGATTTGCTCAACTTTGAAAGGGAACGAGCAATTTGTCGAGGGGAGGGTTGGATAATTGCAATTTTACTTTTACTTTTGCCTTTAAATAATGCAGGCAAAATTGAAAGTGCTCGGCCTGTCGAGTTTCCGGTGAATAACTAACGAGAAAAGTTCAATTCCAAATACGTTGTATATAATCCAAAGCCAAATAAATGCAAAATATTTTTCCACATTAAATTCGTAAGCAAATACATTTAACCCGATGCAAATATTTTGTTTATTTAAGGAATGTCTTTATAACAAATAAACATATTTTTGCGCAAAATCAAAACAAACATATTTATTTTAAAATTTTATTTGCAACTTTTTTTATGAGTAAAATCCATTCTATGCTGAACTAAAACTTTGCTCTAAAATGCAAACACTTCAGTTTTTGTGGAGCTTTACAACAGCTTATAAAATTGTAAATAAAACGTCTGAATAAATATCTAATGCTATTAAGTGCAAGACAAATATCAAATCAAAAGAAATATATTCTTAAAAGGTGAACTATTTATTTGCTTACAACATAACTTTTGCTCGCGACATTGTCAGCTGGGGAAATAAAATGCATAAGCTATAATTTTACAATGCGCACAACCCGGCGTATACGTAACATCTATTTAAAGTACATTCAACCCTTTTGTGCTCGTAATGCTTCAAGATGAAACAATAGAAAAGCCTTGAGCTCGAATATAGAGACACCTCAAAAGCATAAAAGTTGTGAGGCTCAAAATTGAGTGTGGCCATAATTCATGATTATGCAAAAAGGTCAACAGCTTTTGACTGGACCGAAGGGACAGTCCACTTTTGTTACGGCTCACTTTATTCTCTTCTTTTTTTTTTTTATTACGCGCCTGTCGCGTTTGGCAAATTAAATTAAATGTCCGGCAGCATACACACCACGATTTTGTTGCTGCTAAAAGGGATGCAGGATTATTGTGCCTTCCTTATTCACCTTCCTTTTTTATTTTTTTTGAGCATTTTTTATGCTGCTTTTTATGGGCCGTAGCGCTGGCAGCTTGACAGGCCTGACCGGGCGGACAGGCAAATTAATCAAACTAAACTGCCAAAGGATCAGCAAGAGAATGATGAGCAGCCCACAAAGTGGCCATTCGAGAGGGGGCCGGGGGAAAACTGGGGTAGATTAGGTAAGGTGAGACACTCTCTTCACGCGCAGTTTGTTGTTTAACGAGCATTAAAATCAAATTAAAAGTAACTGGACATCTGATTGATAAATCTGGTTTTCCTCCTTTATTGTCCCTGAGGCAAACATATTAATTATATCATTTTAAGCATCGACAAGTCTTAAGACCCTGCCTAACTAGACTCTGTTTGGCTCTCTCTCTTTCAGCTCTATGCCGGCGCCAAGATGAGACGCAGCAGCACTAAAACAGCGACCACGCCCACATATCGACAATATTGGCTGCCGTCGCTGCTTTTGCTTTTAGCAGGCAGCAGCCGCACAAGCGCCCAATGTCCCTGGCAGCGAGATGTGCCCGATCTGCAGACGAGCTGCATATGTGCCTATAATCTGGGACGAGAGCTTAGTGTACAATGCGATCAGGTAAGCAAATTGTTTAAAATAGAATTCAAGCGAATCTTTAGAGTATTTTGTTCAAAAATCAGCAAAATTCAAGTACATAAAGATCAAGATAATTTTTGCTTTTATAATTATTAAATTATTATATTTTTTGCCAATGTATTTCTTACTTTGCGAGTTTAATTTCTTTTAATTTATCCATTTTATCTTGGTAATCGAAACAATTTGTGAGCTGTTTAATTAAAGTGACGCGTAAAGCTCATGCTAAAAGCTGCTGGTAAACTACAAACTTTAAAATATTCCTTGTTTTTCGACGCAAATTACAAATTTTTGCTTTAGATTTTGTGTAAGTTGATTACCCTTTGATTTCTTGTACATGACAGGTCGAGTTCACGCAATTGCTGGAAGCAATGAACAAATATGCGCGACAAAAGCCCGTGGACTTGCTATATGTGAACAATGCGACAATTGAAGAGCTGCCAAATGAGGTGTTCAGCAATCTGAGTCTGCACAATGTACAGCTATCCAGTTGCGGCATCAAAAAGATTGCAAATGGCGCATTTAAGGGGCAGGAGTCGGTGCTAAAGAATCTCAATCTGCAGGATAATCTGCTGAGCGAGGTGCCGGTGGGGGCGCTGCAAGTTCTGGGCAGGCTCAATCTGCTGGATCTGTCTCGCAATCAGCTCTCCAACATACCCGACGATGCCTTTACGGGCCTAAACAAGCTGTCCACGCTGAAGCTGAACGACAATAATGTGACGCTGGCGCCGGGCGCATTTCGTGGCCTCGAGCAGAGTCTGAAGAATCTCAATTTGAAGGGCACGAGACAGCGTCGCGTGCCGGAATGCATACGCGGTTTGAAGAGCTTGGCTTTCCTGGATCTCTCACAGAATGGCATCAAGGAGCTTCCGGGTGCCGGTGGCATACGCGTCTTCGATGGTCTGGACGCGCTCACAGCGCTCAATATGGAACGGAATCTCATCCAGAGCATTGCGGAGACGGCATTTGCGGGCGTGCGGAAAACGTTGAGCTCGCTGAGTTTACTCAACAATTTGTTGTCGGATTTTCCCATTGGCGCTGTGCACTCATTGAAGGAGCTGCGCGTGCTGGACATTGGTTTCAATTTGCTTACCAGCCTGCCGGAGGCGGCCTTTCGTGGAAATCCAAGCATCACACTGTTGGCCCTCGACGGCAATCCACTCAGCACGGTGCCGGAGGGCGCATTTGCCCATTTGAATGCCACGCTGCGTGGTTTGTCGCTGGGCGGGCGCTTTCTGCACTGCGATTGCAAACTGCGCTGGGTTGCCGAATGGATACGCAATGGCGATTTGCAGGTGAGTGTAGCGTAGGCATATCGATTCAATTGTTTCAAAAATGACGTCCCTCCTCTCGTTCTCCCTCTGTCTTTCGCTAGGTCACCTCACGTGAGCGAAATCCTCAGTTTTGTGGCACGCCGCCGCGTTTTCGCGATCGCGGCTTCTACTCCATACAGCCAGAGGAGCTGAGCTGCCCCGAAATAGCCGATGCCGCGCTCCGTGGTCCAGTCGGTCTGGCCGATAATCTCAAGCCGACATTTCCCTCTTCGCCCGATTCCGTGGAGTTTGAGACGGGGTCAGCTATTGGAACGGGCACCGGAACAGCCGCCTCGGCGCCTGTTGCGAACAGTGTGAGCACCACAGCCCCAACAACAACAACCACATTGTCCACGACAACAACCACAACAACAACAGTAGCGCCTACAACTAGTTCCATCTCCAGCACATCAGCCAGCACGGTGAGTAATTGTATTGGTTGCAATTCGAAAGCTGAAACCAGTTTACAGACGAACTTGATAGATATGAACTATTAGAGAACCAGTTTTCTGAGTTCGGAACTAGGTTTGATCAAGCTGAACTACCATTTGAACTAGTTTAATATGAATCAGGAACCAATTTAAACGCGCTTTGTACTAGATGTTAAAAAGTGATATTGAAAGGGTACAAATCCTCACTAAAAACCTAGATTTAAATGTATTTAATCAATTTATTAGCTGCATCTGAAAATTCCTTTTGTCTTTAATTTTGAATATCTTAAATTTATAAAGCAACTTGAACAATCTGTTGGGCATTCAGCTAAATAAATCTTGAATCACTTCTTAGCGTGAACTAAAATTAATTTTATGAGCTTTTGAAAAAGCTTCCAAGAATTAAATTTAAAAAGGGCTAATTTGTAAAAAATCTAAGTAAAAGAACTAAAACTGATAAGCTAGCAATATATATAGCAGAAAATTCACCTTTTAGACTAGAAAGCGCCCGTTCGAAACTGAACTAGGTCCAAAATGACTATAAAACGCACAATTTATGAATTTTTGAAATGTGAGCAATTATTTACGCAAAGTCGGCTACATGAATATCTCTTTTTTCCATGTGGTCGCGCCACATGCCACAACAGACTCGTGCCCCAACACAAGCCACAACGAAAGCGACGAAGGCAGCAGCTGCTTCGCCAACGGTAGGCGTCAATGGCACCGGCAGCGTTCAGGCCACGGCCATCTCCTCAACGAGCAGCAGCAGCAGCAGCAGCAGCTCCTCGACATTGCACACAGCCGGCAAACAGGCACCCGGCTGGCGACAGGGCGCCAATGTCAATGCGAATGGCAACCAGCACAAGCCGCAGCGACCGCCGCTGGTGCTGGGCTATCCGCCGCAGCGTGGCACACGCATCGACGATGCCAACGAGGTGCAGGTGAAGCATGCGTTCCGCCAGGACAGCTCCGTGATCATACAATGGGACTCGGAGACGGCCAACATATTGGGCTTTCGCGTTGTCTATCGCCTGTTCGGCGAGAAGGCCTTCAAGCAGGGCCCGCCGCTGGAGGCCAGCGAGCGTGAGTTTAAGATCAAGAATGTGCCCGCCCAGGAGTGCATCATAGTGTGCGTCATATCGCTCGAGGAGCTGCACGTCACGCCCGAAACGGTGCCCTATCAACAATGCCGCGAGGTGCGTACCGTTTCCTCGCAGACCTCCAACATGGATAAGATAACCATAGCGGCCAGTGCAGCCATTTGTGGCACCATCATTGTGGCTGTGATTGTGTTCATTGCGGCAAGCAGGTGAGACAATTGTAACTGCTTCACGGGGCGACCTTTAAAGCGTGTTAGGCCCATTTGGCATCCATAAATATTTTATGCTATCAGCAAGAACATTATCAAATGCCTCTTCATACTCTTCACACTCTCTCTTGCAGACGCTCGCGCAAACTGCAGAATAACCAGCAAAAGAGTCCGCTGCCAATTGGAGGTTTGCCCGTTAATTGTTGCGGTCCAACCGGTTCGCCAGGACCACTTGGCTCGATTGCCACGCTATCGGCGTTTAACAATCACAAGGTGAGTTTAGTTGCCAATTGGCCATAAAAAATGTATATAGAGCGGGTTGGCCAAAACGTTGGCCTCAGGTTGTTGCTAAATTGGCCTCTGTGACTCGGAAATGGCCGCAATTGAAGCCAACATTTTTCTATATATATATTTTTTTTATTTTTATTTATTTGCCAACAAATAAAACGTGGCAGGCGGAAAAAGAAAAACATACCAGCCTATATTTTTGGTATAAATTTCCCTCTGTTTTTCAGCTAGCTGCCAACAAAATATTTAGTTGAGTTTTAAATAAATTTAAATTTATGTAGCTGCAGCCAGATACTAAAGCTATTTTATAGCCCCAACAAACCGAAATAATAGTCAGCTTTAAGTGTAAGTTAAGCGGCGTTTAAAATGATAGCAAAAGAAAATTGAATAATTTGGGTAACTAATAATAAAATTGTGATATATGTTTGACTTAAGGTCCAACTGATTACACCGATTTTTGTACAAGAAAAATATGTTTAAAGCCTGGTAACACCGCACCGTCTCTCTTCCCTCAGGAATGGGATCAAGTATCAGCGTACAGTGGACGCTCGATACCGCGACCACGCATCTATCCAGTCGAACAGCCCGACGATATGCGCAGTCATTTCTCTGGCATGCCCGGCAAGGTGGCCAAATCAAGGTATGTAGAGTAACAGCTAGTCGGTGTTGACATCGAAATTAATACAAAACAACCTCAATCATTGAAAATGTTAACCAAATGTTTGCTTGATTTTTTGCCATATTTAATTTGTGTTTATTTTATTGTAATTTCATATTTCATTATGTTTGTTATTTATTCATGCCACAACACGATGCACACACACACACACACACGCACACACACGAACATACACATTCACACATGCGAATGCCACACACAACACCAAAACAGATCCATAGCCGATGGGCAGTCGCAGCACAGTTTTTCGAATAATTCACATCGCGGCTATTTGGGTAGCGCCTTCCCCACAAATCTGGTCAATTCACGCCCGGAGCTGCGTCAGTCGCGCCAGTCGCTGGCCGCTGCCTCCGAGCGCATGTCGCGCGCCTCCTACGCCGGCTCCATACATGGCGGTGGCGGTGGTGGACCTGGCGGCGGCGGTGCCAACGGCATGGGCGGCATGGTTGGCGGCGGCAGCTTGATGGGCATGAGCGGGCTGGTTGGCCCCGGCGGGCCAGCCAGCATTGCATCCAGCAATGCAAGACGCTCGCGTCCGCGCTCCAGATCACGCGATCAACTGAACACAACGCACATACATAACCATCGACCGGGAAGTCGGTAAGTAGAACGCAGACACACAACAACCAAAAGATGCTAACCCTCCAGGTGATTGGTGCGGCTCAAAGAGACAGCATTCACACACTCAATTAACACACACTCACACACAACACACACACACACACAACTCGGATAACTGTCACATTTCGCTAATTACAAGCGTCACACTTTCAATTTTTTTTGCACAAGAGTTTCTCAAAACAAAACCTGTTTATTTTTTATTATCATTTTTATGTGTTGCCATTAAATTTATTATTAACCATTTGCGCATCTCCCCCTTCCACCCAAGAGCAGAACTAAAGCTTTTCGAAGCATATCTTGAGCTTTGAGTATGTTTTGCTAATATTTGCATAATAAAACCATTTAAATTAGGTTTGCTTTGACTCTAAATTTTGCTTGTTGAATTCACAAAAATATATAATTAATGCGCGTTGAAAACCCCTTTAAACAAAATGTTTGCTAATTTGCGGAAAAATAAACTGAAAGAACACATATTTAATTTGTAAAAACTGTAATACTGGAAGCTTAGTAAGTTTTATTCAAGCCAAAAAATACCATTCACTTTTTTTAATAAATCAATCAAGCTTCGGAAATGGGAAACTTTAAAATGAAAAATTATATGAGGAGAAAAGCAAAGAGAAATAAAGTAGACGGTCCAATTAGAATTAAGATATTTAAAATTGTTTTTAAGAACAAGAAGAAATTGTATATTGCAGTCGATATTTGGGCTATTCCTTGCTAAGATGCCTAAAGACTGATAGTCCGTAAGGCTCGCAATTTGGATTAGATATAAATGAAACGTTCCCTTCTTGGAATAGATAGAAGTAAAAAGCTGTTCTTTTCTTCTTCTGATAGTTTTACTGACAGGTTAATAGTTAAGAGGAGCACTCTTTTGTTATAGAACAAAAACTTTAAAAGTCAAACTACAATTTCTAATTAAACCCTCCCTATTTATTATACAATCTGTAAAGCAAATAAAGTACCTTCGACAATAGCCTTAACGCCTATTCCATTAATTAACCACCTCCGACCAAGCCTCATAGTAACTTTTAATAAACGAACACAGCTAACTGTTTACTTAATTCATTATTATTTTTTTTTCTGCTGTTATTTGCTTTGCTCAATGTTGTAAATTCGTTACGTCCATTATATTTAATTTCGTTTGGTTTCGTATCGGCTTTAACATTTTTGCACAACTCATTAACCGCCTTTTCCATACAACTTTCCCAACACACAAATTGAGTAAATTGTTGTGCATTGTAATTGATCTATTCCCCCCTCTCGCTCTTTCTCACTGTTCGAGCAGATATTCGACAGCTGGTTCAACGCACACGTTGAACAATTATTGCGACACATCGGACAATTGGACCGATCATGATATGGATATATATATGGCGCGCAATCCGACAACGCGCAACGGTCTGGTGCCATTATGAGGGCGGCTCATGTTATCCTGATATTTCAATGTTGTATTAAATTTGGATGGCATTTTCTGACAATATCTGACGCCGGCCATGGCAGTGGGTGGCGGTGCAGGCGATGGACGGCATCAGCAGCAAACTGCTGCAGCACAACAACAGCAGCAGCAACAACAGCAACGACATAGAAACAATCAGCAATTGGAGCAGCCATATCAACTACAACAGCAACATCAACTACAACAGCAACAGCAACAGCAACAACAACGTTTACAATATTACAATACACCGCAAACGCAACGCTGCACCTCGCCGCCAGATGTGGTGCCCCGTGCAGCCAATTTCCATAATAGCAGCAGCAGCAGCAACAGCCACGCGTGCAGCACCAACAACAACAACAACAACAATCAGCAACAGTCGCTGTTGCCAGCTTCGACAGCAGCAGCAGCAGCAGTAGACAACGGCGGCATTGTTGTCGAGAACTATTTTAACGAATATGAGCGTCAGGAAATCATTTATCACCCCACAAGCAACAGCAGCAACAGCAACAACAATAGCAGCAGCACGCCAGCAACACGTCTGGGCAGCCGCAGCAATGCCTTTCGTTTACAGTTGAACGCGGCGGCAACGACGAATGCAACGACTAACAATATTTTATATAGACGAAACAATTATTTAATAGATGCAACTAATGCGCATACATTTAGTGATAACTGTAACTGTACTTGTAATTGTAGCCTAAGCGAGCAGCAGCAGCCGCAACAGCAACAACAGCAACAACAGCAGAGAGCAGCAGCAACAACAACTGACAGCAGTTGCGTTGACACACAAGCAGAAGCATCCTTGGCGCCGAGCACCTCAGTGTCAAGCATTGAGCAAGTGCAGCCAGCTAAATATGAGCATGAGACAGCAACAATTGCAACAGAGGCAGCAGCAACAACAACAGCATCAGCAGCAGCGGAGGCCTTGTCTGAACTGAACTTGACATTGGCTGACATTGACACGGACTTGGACTTAGACATGGACACGCTTTGAGTGCAATACATAATTCTAGTTGTTGCTGCTAACAATTTAGTTGCTGTTGCTTTTGCTGTTGATGTTGTTTTCGTGTCCCAAACAATTTGCATAAAGTTTAGAAAGAAGAAAAGCAACTCGAACAACTTAGCTTAACTATTTTTGTATGCTGTTTGTGTTTTTGTGCAATGAATACGTATGTTAACCACATAGACATTATATTTGGTTTGTGTACATAAATGTATCTGTATCTGTATCTGTAACTGCAATTGTATCTGTAACTGTAACAGCGCTTTCCTTGGTTCTTTGTCGTTGTGCGCGTAGATTTTTTTGGTATATCAGCAAATGTTAAGCAATCAAAGAACTAACACGTAAGTCAATATCTTATAAATGGTACTAATACACACACAAAAACACACACACACACACACAACACACACTTACACACTAAACTATTTAATATAGCATAGAAATGAACAAAACAAATATTTGCAAAATTAATTCAAAACTGCGGTTGGACAAGCATAGAAAATGAATTATTTGTTTAAAAAGACATTAATTTTACTTTACATAATATTATATTACAATATTATTGCTTAAACCATCCTAAACACTGCTTGAAATATTTTATTATACTATTCATAAAATTCTTTAATGCTTAAACAGATCGTTAAACATATTCTGTTATTCTTGAGATATTTTGCCTCACATTTAAACTATAAAAATAGTAAACATAGAAGACACTGCATTCAATTCAAGCACATTTTTTACTTAATTTAAACGATTTAAAAAACAAAATTTCAGATTTGTTTTAAGTTCAAAATGTGCTTGAATGAATGTTTTAAGAAAATAATCTCTTTTGCTTTATATAAAATTTAAAAAAAAGAACATTTTATTGATGTAATTTTAAAATAACGAGTTTGAAATTTAAATCAGAATTAGAAGCAGTAGAGATGCAAAAAAAATTCTTTTAAAAAACAGATTTCCCATTTTCATAAAGAAAAATGATTTCCAACAAAGTTGTTCTATAATCAAGTTAAATATTTAATAATAATTCAATATATTTTCTAACCCACTTTGAGCAATTAACAAGAGTCTCAAGAGAAGTTACAAAATCCTTAAATATGCTTGTCGAAACCAGTCAAACAAAAGAAAGAAAAAAAAAAATAAACACATTCCAATTGCCCTGCAAGTGGGGCGTTTACTGCCTTGAATATACTGAGTAAATTATGAGAAATTGTATTTTCTCAAAATTTGTGTTGAACATTTTTAAAAAGCAATTTTTTATTTGCAATCCAAGAATTTACATTTTGTATAAAAGCTTCAGTCGAAACGTTTGTGTGCTAAGTTTTACACTTATAACAATTATTTGTTTAATTTTTATGTTTAATTATAATTTTATAGTGAGATTTTAATAAATTTAAAAGAAATCATATTAGAAGAAATTCAAATTCTTTTCATTTGTAAACGAATTTTAGTTTTTAATGAAGGTTTGTATTTAATTTTTTTTATTAAGATTCTTTTCATTTTATTGCCCAACTTTTTTAAGTTTAAGTGTAATTTTTTTATGCTTACTATTTGAAGCTTACTGTAAATCCTTGTATATAATATTGATAGCCCTAAGCTTTCTATTTGAGTTTCAAACATTCTTAATGATGGGATTTGCCTGAGCGCAAATCCGAGCGAACACAGTTGACAGTTAACAATATTTAGTGCCCGTGAGCAGGATTTGGGCCCCACAAAGGCCAAATCCACAACGCTCATGCCTGGCACTAAATACTTAGTACATTAAGGTAAATATATCTATTAGAATTCGATTTAAGAACAAGTTAAGACAACGCTTTGAGCATTAGACAGGTAAACAAACAACACACAATTTAGATGGAAAACGGGAGCAATTATTTAGAACAACAACAATAAAATTATGAATATAAACTATATGAATAAATATAAATCAATTGTAGGTAATAAATTTGGAAGGGAAAAAGCAGGAGCAGCAGCAGAAGAAGAAAACACCCAACAATTTTAGGCTTATATTTAAAACTAGAGCAAATGCAAATGTTTCACTTGTAAAGTAAGCAAAATAAAAAGTAGTTAAGAATTTCATTGATCGATAACTCGATACACGGCTGAGTTATCGATTATAGTAGAATGTAAGAAATGCAAAATCAAATTTAGTATTTAACATAATTACAATGAACTAAATTAGTAAACTGCCTTAGCACCAGCGAGAAAAGGGATCGAAGAATTACAAAAATTCGAAAAAAGCACGTGCTTAGTTTTTAGTTTAGCAGCACTTTAGAGTACGAAGATGAGCTGGATTTGATGGAACTGTGTATTGAACACAAATACTGCCAAACATGAAGTTCCAATAATACAAAATCACGTGACTTTAAGGACTTGTTCTTAAGAGATCTACTTGAATTCATTTCATTTCGAACACTTATACAATAGATTTTCTGTAAGAAGCAGTTAGGAATCTTAAGTATATTGCTGTCGTCTCCCAAATTGTAACCATTTCTCTTAAATGTCACGCTGAAACCCATACGAAACATGATACTGAGGAGGGCTCATCTCTTATACCACAAACGACACCAAAAACGATAGATCGTTAAGCAAAACACCACCCGATTTTAGATTTTAGAACGGATCAAAGTTACTCTCTAACAATAAATGTGCGTTAAATTGTTAATGTATTCACTAAAGTGTTAACTTTGCGGCTTCAACAGTAACAAAATAATATATAACAAAATGTTAGCAAAAACTTCATTAGAGACAAGTTTTGCCAGTTTTGTTTGTTGTATTTGAAATGAAAAAAAAACACATTTTTTTCGTTTATACGCATCAAGTTCCAAATAAAGCATATTTTTGTTAAGACCAAAAGTTGTATTAATATTTCGTATTCTTGGGGGTACTCACCCGGGCACTGATAGAGAATTATCCCATAATAAACGCAATTGACGTGTAAAGGCCGCCCACAGCTGCGCCATGCCCTCCAAGCTGCCCAAATGGGCGTGGCAAGTGGCCAATAAGCAGCTGAGACGACAAACCAAAGAATCAGCAACTGCGCTCTTGATGCGCATCGGATCGAACTGCAAGAAAGAAATTTATAAAAATTTAGAAATTTCATTTAAGGATCAGTTACTGTAAGTTTGAGTGTAAGTAATGTTTTTAGATCACAAATAAAAAGTCGACCTATTACTTTATTTTTTTTTGGATAAACCCCTATTTGTTAAAATGAACCCCAAACTGTATCCACACACACAATCGCAGACTCCTAAAAGAAGTAAAAGGAGAAAGCGGAAATCAAGAAAGAGATGTATCATATTCCGAAAACTTTAAATGTGTTTAAACAGCATCGCCGTTTCCGAATAATAGTTCTTATAAAAACTTTATGATATAGAATATTGATGATATGTTAGACATTATGAAGCTTATTATTGATGCGTATGGATAAGGTTTCTCGAAGATTCTCAATAAAAAAAATGAAACAAATCAACACAAGACTTTAAATTTTTTCTAATTGTTTCTTTGAAAGCTGAATTATAAAGTTCTTCTATCTAATACACTCAAATGAAACTAAAAGTCTTATTAACACACAAAGAGTAAGAAGCAAGTCCACTTAGAACATGGAAGCAAAATTATCGTTTGAGTTCGTCATGCTGATCAAGAAGCTATCTATCTAAGTATCTATCGAGCTATCGCTTAAGGCATTACCTATTTCGAGATTACACCTGCAAGAAGGGTACACTCATCCATAGTTGTAAAACGACTCACCTTTTCTTTAAAGCTCTGCTTGGCATAGGGAAACAGCGCCATTTCGGGATGCATATCGGGAAACAGATAGACCAATAGCTCCGTGAGTTCGCTCTCTGTCATGGGTCCAGGCAAACGCTTGGTAAGACCTGCCTGCGAGGGCAGCTCATAGTTGCGCTCCCTTCGCGAGGTCAGCTTGTGTTCGGTTAGCTTATCCAATGGGTTCGTGCGCTCAGCGCCGCTGCTGATGCCAGAGAAATTGCGACCCACATACGATTCCAGCGAGCGCTCGACCTTGCCCACCGCCTGATAATCTTGCAAGCAGCAGCTTAGGTACGAAAAGGCCTCCACAGATAAATAGATCTTGCCCAAGGGTGCCTTGGAAGGCAGAAAATCCGTGCGCTGTTCGCTATCAAAGGCCACGCTCTCCGAGAGCTCTGGCCAGGTGTAGACGAGGTAGCTCTCTGTGGATGACTCCGGAGCATAACCATGCGGTAGCGCATAGAAATGCTGCACATCCAGTTGCTCCACGTCGCCATCGATAGCTATGTCCTCGGAGCTTAGACCATGATCGAAGGGCACATATAAAGGCATGCGTATGCGCACCGCATCCAACGTGTAGGTGGTGCGGACTGAGACCCTGGCTTCCTCGGTGTACGCGGAGGGTAGCTTGTCACGGAAGAGCGTTACGAGGCCCGTCAAATAACGGCATTCCGGTGGCGCCTGCTCCAGACCAATGAGTCGGAAATTGGTGCGTAGAGCGGGTGCCAGTGCGACGCCCGTATAGAAATTCCACTTGGGATCGTACAGCTGCACAAAGATGGGTACCACGCTCGACACTTCGGCAGCCACCACAGCCGCAGCACTCAAAAAGAAATTAAACTCTGATGTGGACTTCATGTAATTGCTAGCAGCATGCACGGGATGCATCAGCACAAAACGCCGCAGTCCATAGATCCGCGCCAACGTGTGCAGTTCGCTGGAGTTGCGTATGGGCGGTCCAAAGCTGTTCCAACTGCACATCAAATCGTGATGGCAATTCGTACGCTGCAGGCAGGTGCTGCCCTCCTCGCCCGCTACAACTGTCGGTGTGTTAGTTGGCTGCGCTTCGTAGTAGTCCACGGCAATGCTATTGCGAAGCATGTCCAGAGTTTGCGACTCTACGTGCCACTTGCAATGGAAGAGCTCCTCTGGCTGCAGTGGGACGCCCACGTCGACGGCCACCTCCCATTTTTGTAACAGCTCGCCAAGCTGGGCGTTGAACACCTCCCAGTCGGAATCGGCGCTAAAGTTTTCACGATAGAAATCGTTATCATCTATTTCTTCGGCCATTACTTTGCAATTTGAACGTATTAACAAGCAGCAGACAAACTAGTTGCAAATTGCAATTAAAATCTGTGTCAGCTGTTCTGACAGAGTTGCCACCTTGCTGCAATAACTTATATGCCACCTAGAGATGGACAAATTGTTCTTGAGCAAACAATAAGTATTTTTTTAAACCACTTTAAGCTTTTTATCTATAATCCGTATGTTACAGACAGTAATATATGTAATAAAATAAAATAAAACACCACAGTACAATATGCTATTTTATGATAGCAAATTGAAGATGGGTATCGATGGGTGGGCAAATATATCGATGAGTTCGAGGAGTGGGCAACTATCGGAGCCAGAATTTGCTAAACGTGATATGGTGGTCTTACTCAGCCCTGGTTGATCTATGTCTAGCCAGCAAATCGATAACAATTTCCAAGGGATTTTAATGATATGTATGGCAAATAATGAAGAAAACAAAAAACAAGAAAATCGTTGCTCAATGATCACAAAAAATTGCTACATATGAATTATCTTCAACTTGCGTCTTAATTTTGATATTTCCCGCTGAGTAGGTAGCGTTGCCAGACTTTCTGTGACAAAAGCACTTAAACAACAAAACGCGTGCTATCGGTTTTTGCTTATCGAACTGCACATCATCATGCGTCGCACCGACAACAAAAAAAGTATATAAACAAATATTAAATTTTAATTTAATCTACTAACAACTCACTAAATACCTTAAATATATTATAGAATTTAGCTATCGCAGCCAACGTTTTATCTGGGACCCGGCGCCCACGAGACTCTTCTTGAAACTGTGGCTTGAAAACATTGACGGTTTACGCGGGGCGCGGGTAAAAACGCAGATTCACAGAGAAATGGCGGAAAAAATGCAGAAATATGGACCAACCCACGTAGAAATAAAGGCCAAATTGGATAATATGACTAAGAAATATAGGTATGTAGCTGTCGAATGCGAATGAAAGACAAAACCCACTATTTTGTCTTTTTTTTCCAGAATAGAAATGACAAAATATCGCAACAGCGGGCAGCCATCAAAATGGGAATATTTTAGTCAAGTGCAGGAAATATTAAAGGAATCAAAATTGGTTAACTTGAGCCTCTGCATGGCCGACAGTTTTGGTAAAATAATAGCACACAAAATCATATCAAAATCCAGCTATAATTCATATCGCACCAATTACAGACTATTCGCCCATGGAGGATTCGGAGAGCAACGATTCGGCAGACTCGAATTTCAACGCGTTTAGTCCACCGGCAATAGCCAACGACGAAACTGAGCTAGCAAGGAGCCCTGAAAGAGCCGCTTCCATCAAAAGTGACTCGGCCTACTCGGCAAATACCTATGCGCCACCGCAGTCAAATTATAGCTTTAACAAAACAGAAAGAATCTTGAGAATAGAAGAGGCAAAGCTGGCCATACAAAAGGAAAAACTGAAATTAATGAAAAACATTGCTGATAATTTGTCATCCATTCATAGGAATTTCCTTAAAGCCTACAAAATGAAGTGAAACCCAACACAATTTATTAAAGTCTCTAACCCACTCATTGAGCATGTTAATTAATTATATGTAAATTTAATGAATGCTTGCCTTGACTACTCTTAGCATAAGTGATTAATTATTATGTTACTTACCATCGTACAAAACGCAAAAGACCAATATATATGTTTTATGAATATTATTTGCATTGCTGCATTTTAGACGGAACACTTTTAATAATTCGAACTGTTTATTAGCCCAACTCGATCAGCTGTTCACAGAAGATTAAAAAAAAACGGGACTCTCATATTGGAAACGCCAAAAGTAAAAGGCGACGATAGGCCGATCGATTAATTGAATGTTTTGCATTTAGTTGACTGGGTGGCAACTCCCTTCAAGTTTGGGACGGGCTTTAAATATCGCCCACATTTCTCTTAAGTTTTGTGTTTATATATTAATCCTCTACTAGTTTTGGCAAAGCCCCCGCATGCAACTCAATCAGGTAAGTTTACAAAGAAGCACTTAAATTTTCTAATATTCTTGCTAAAGGTTCTTAGTTTTAGTCACGAAATGTGTAAGACAGTTTATAAGACAACGGCATCATAAAGTGTGCATATGTATGTATAGTTTCAATAAGTGAGAGGTCAGAGGATCTCTTTCTCTGCAGACAAGTGCTTTAGTCTCAACTATATTGGTTAAACGCTGTATAAGTAGAGGTTTGCTGCAAGCAGTACACATGGGGCAGGGGGACGGATCGGGGTATTCAATCTTTGGCAGCCCGAAGAGAACAGTTTGATTTTTTTGGTGTGGTTTTTATTAATTTACATCAATCCATTCTCTATATGCTGTCGCAGGGGCTTTGCTTAAACGTAAACAACTCTTGACGGCTTAACCAACAATAAGGGTGCCCTCGTCGGGGAACTCATGGGTGGGCACTTCCAAATTCAATGGCGCCGGTCCCTTGCGAATGCGGCCGGAGGCGTCATAATGGGAGCCATGGCAGGGGCAATAGTAGCCACCAAAATCACCGGCATTCGCAATTGGCACACAGCCCAAGTGCGTGCAAACGCCAATAACCACGAGCCATTCGGGCTTGAGCACACGTTGCTGCAAGAGGTACAAGCAAATATGGGTTAATAGGAAAAAGTAGTTGGATATCATAAGTTATATGTACGCACATCGTCCGTTTCGGGATCACGCAGCGCCGATGTGGGCACAGCCCTTTCCGTTTCAATCTCGGCCGGGGTGCGGTGGCGAATGAACAGTGGCTTACCGCGCCACTTGAACGTCACCGATTTGCCTTCGGCGATGTCGCCCAATTTAATTTCAATTTTGGCCATGGCCAGCACATCGGCCGAGGCACTCATGGAGCCAAGGAAAGCATTGACCATGCCTTTGGCCGCATAGACACCGCCAACGGCGCCAGCACCGACCAGCATATAGGAGAAAGCCTTGCGCTCCTCAGCGCTCTCGTTGCGGCGACGCTCATCCTTGACTGAATCACGACGATAGGCGGAGAAATCCGGTACGCGCAGATCCGTGTGTGCCTGGCGCGTGGCTGCAAGAGAGATAGATTAGAGTAGGGTTCACTAAAAAGCAGTTGCCACAGGCAAATTTTTGTGCTTTTGCTGCACACACTCATTCGTTAATCAGCTGTTTTCACTTGGCCAACTGACAGTGGGCGAGGTTATGTTGAAATTACGTAAGGAAATTCGCAACTTTGGCCATTTGGCCATTGAAAACATTGCGAAAACCATATTTCATTATATGTTTAGGCTGCCTTACACACAAATCTCTGGCGCTGGGCCACGTTATATAACTGCAGCCTCTGCGATCACTTGTTTCCCTTACCAACGGCGGCTCCACTGGCCCGCAGGCTGCTGGACAGTGCCTGGGCGCTGGCGCGCACATAGGCACAGGACGCGGCTTTCATCATCTTGTGGATTGGGGCTTCTTGTTAATTCTATTTGTTTTTGTATCGAAAATCTCGTTGACGAGACCAACGTCGTCCGTCTACTTTGCTGTTGCTGTGAAAACCAGAGTGACCGCGAGCTGCAAACGCGAAAACACCAAAATTTTAAATTAATAGCATTTTAATTCTTTCAAAGAATATACCTTCAAAATTATTTGTTTACAAACATCAAATTACAAATATATATTTGAATGTTTGTAATATTTTATTGTGCTCGTAAAAAGAAATTATTTCTGTATTCTTAAAAAAATACTATGCATTTGAATTACTGTCTGTTCTGGTTTTACGAACAAGTGACGTTAACGCAATATGCGCAACGTAACGCAAACTGCGTAACGCTGACGTTAAATATGTGCGTTGCCAAGTGATGTTGGCTGTGCACAAAATTTGAATCCCGTAAAGTTGGCTGCGCGTTTTTTTGACACTCCAAATTATGTGCCCGCAAAATTTGAATTGCCTTGGTAGAATTCTTATGTTCTAAAAGTTGTATACTCAATTCAATATTATTGTTAACCATTGTAATCGCTTGGCATTCAATAATAATATTCACATTTTTATGTATCCTTAATCTCTGCTTTTGAGGATTAACTTCTAAGAACAATACAGACCTAAAAACGTACCCCATTCTTCATTTCTATTCCTTAACAGTTTCCACCTAGATGAAACTGCATGCTTATTTCCCAGCAAATAATCCACAATCCATCCCCCACCCGCTGTGTGGCTGCGCATCAAGGTAAGCCACCCCTTTAATGAAAACATTTCCCTCTTAAATTAGTTACTGCAACGATTTAGCTTTCGCCAAAAGAAAAGGGTTTTCATGGAAAACCGGTTGTGCAACCCCAAAAATCCACCACCACCGCATTGTTTTTCCGATTGCATTTTCCTCTGAAGCCTCATGATGTCATTCATGACAATTTTGCACTTTAAAGTTCTCTACGAAAAAGTTTAATAATTGCCTAAGCATGCGTTGGGTTTGAAATTTTCATCTAACTTCATTAATAAGCGCCATTTCAAACATTGCAAGAAAATGTGCGAATTATTTATTTTCGCTCTGTTTGCTGACCTCATCGCGCGCAACCACAAAACAATAAACGCATAAAATGACAGTAAAGAAATGCATAAAAATGAGAAAGTTAACACAAAACAAAATAAAATAAAAAATGCGCATAAATGTAGGCAACGGGGAAAATGCTCGCCAAATTTTAAACCAAATCCGAAAGTGGAATAAAAAAGAAAACCCTAAAAACAAAAAATAAAGCTGTAAAAAAGCGGCAACGCGCAGCCGGCTAAAGTAATTCCTTTGGCGCCAGGCCTGTGATTATCGAAAGTAGTTCTTTTTGATGTCGAAAGTTTTTGCCTCCCACGCCGCCAGCTCCCCTTTACCAACTACCACACACCCCACCACGCCTTCCCCCCCTCCCCTTTTCGGCCAGCGCTCGTCGCTAGGTGGCGTTGCGAAAGTGAAAGGCGAAATGCGAAATGCCGCCCGGCGCCCCTCTAGTTGCTGCGTCCGTTTCCATTTCCCGCCTGGCAGCGGGGCAATCTGCGCACATAACGGCGCCTCTATGTACTTACCACGACACACACACATACACACACACACACATACACACACACGCGCGTACACTCTATAGCATTCACATAGATACGCACAAAAAGTGCGTGAATTTTTGGGCAAAACAACAAATGCAAAAGAAAATCATTTCATCTGCAACGAAGCTCAAATACTCTCACTTGTTTTTTTAAAAAGCATAATCTTTGCTTAATATTGATAACTGCTTAAAGAACGACAATATGTTTCACATGTGTCAAAATATTAAACATAAATAAAATAGTCATTAAAATATATAAATAAATTTGGGTAATACAGTCATAAGATTTTATAATAGCCTGGTTTGAGGGTTTCTTCTAGAACTGCGAAGATATATTTTCTTAAAGATTTGAGCTGGGTTAAATGCTTGCAGGTGTTTTCGCTTAGTGCGTTTTTATTCGTTGCGTGGCTGAGTCTATTGATATCTAATGTTTATCTTGATGTAAATAGTTAGTTAGTTAGTTATTATTGTTTACTGGCATTGCAGGGCTTGCTTAATAGGCTTTCAGACAGATAGGTCTAATCTATCGATTACTTACAAATATATAGTTTAATATAAGTCCAGCCACTCAGAAATATATTTAATTTAATAGAAAGGAATTCAGCGAATCTGGCTAACATTTTCTCCTGGTACAAGTACAAACTTTCCCACACACACTTTCTTTAAGAACAAGCCAAGACAAGGGAGCTGCAAAGGTAGTTGCAGTTTTTTGAACTTAAATAAACTTAAACTTGCCCAATAGCTAACGCTGCCAGTGCTAGAAAGTGTATTACAACAGCCAAGTTAAAACTATGCCGCGTAGGCGACATAGGCAGCAGCAGAGCCAGGCACCAGGCTTCCTTTTTTGCCCAACACTAGCTGCCACCACGCAGCATTGCCCGCCCCCCTGCCCCGTCTGCTATCGTTAACTGCGTTACACTTTTCAGCAACTTTTACATTGGGCAATGGCGCCAACTACAACTACAACAGCAACAGAAACAACAACAGCAACAATAAACGACAGCAACTGCTTTTGCTGCCTATTTTTCAACTCCCCGCCCACTTATGGCAAGCGCCAGGGGCTGCTTTGCTGCTCCAGCTCCAATTTTGTGTGTGTGTGTGTGAGAGAGTGTGGCGTGTGCAGCATTGCGGCTGCGGCTGTGGCAACAACAGCAACAAAAACAACAGCAACAACATCGACGACGACAACGACGACAGCAACATTGCCTGCTTCAGCCGCTTATCGCAACATCAGCCAAGCATAAAGCTCAATACGCACACACAACCGCACCACCAACCACCGCCCTGCAGCAGCAGCAGCAGCAGCAACAACAACCGTCCCGCGCCGCCCCCTTTGACGAAAGTTGAAAGTGGAAAATTGTGCGTGGCAGCCAAAAGTTTCAGCCGATCCGAGCTGAGCTGAGCTGAGTGAAGGCCTCCTAACTGACTGACTGACTGACTGCTTGACTGACTGACAGTCGACGCTGACGACAATGCCCACCCCCCCCCCCCCCTCTCCACCCCTTTGGGCGCAACGCCTCTGCGTGGACTACCTTGCCATGCAAAACCCATTTACTCCTTGGGCGGCTTCTCTGAAAATTAAATGAATAAGCAGCTCGTTCTGTGCATCGCCTGCTGTGTGGTAAAAGGGGCTCTGTGGCTGAAGTGTGGCGGAGCGGGGCGGGCAAAGCTTGTGGCATGTGCAGCCTTTAAGTTGCTGCTAGGGTCCCAGGAGCCGCTGCCAAATGTAGCACAGCTGGCAGTCATTTTGTGCTCATCTCGGTTTGCATTTAAAGATATTATGCCATGGGCCACGCTTCGACTTGGGTCTATATTTTTGATAAATATATATATATACATATATATATATATATATATTTATATATTTGTATGTATGCTTAGGTGTGTGTTGCCTTGTTGTTGGCACATGCTTAGCTGGGCGCTTTGTTGCCTGGCCGAGGACTTGTCCTGTCGACGTCTGCTCGCTGGCCCTTTGGCTGAGCCATTTTGTCAGCCAGGATTAGGTGACCATGACAATTGGTCAATGGTCAACGAGCAGCGGGCATGCGTTTGTTTGTTTTCAAAGGAACTGCCCAAAGGACTCGTGGGCGACACCTTAAATCGACGGCCTAGCAAATGTTGCCTTCACATTTTATAAACTTGTTTTTAATGCGCCCGAAGATAAATTCGTCATCTAGGAAAATTATGAACAGAATTTCTGAGAATAAACCGTAATTTGTGGAAGTATTTCTCAGATCTCTATTTTATAAGTTAAAATATTTATATTTATTTCTATATTTACTAAACTTATATTAAAGATTTTAAGCAATACGCTTCGCCCTCCCTCTTTAGCATGTTGCAATGGAAATTAGTCTCTCTTTCGTCTTTCTGTAGTAGAATAGATATGTCGAACCACTTGGAGCCAACCACTATATCATATAGTTGCTATTGGAACGATTGGTCTAAAAGTTGGTTTTTGTATGTTTTTCTAAAGATATCTTGATCGACCCCGTAATTCCTAGTTAAAGTATGCTGCTTATTCCTACAAGAGCCGTAAGGCAAATGTCTTGAAGGGTATTAAATCTTCGGCTTGCTAAAAATATCTTCACTCTCTCGTTCGTCTCTAAGAATTTGTTTCTGTATGGAATATTTGAGGTCCTTTTTTGGATTTCATTTGTCTCTTCAAGATATTTGCATCGTGTCCAGCATTTACGAGCTTTCTTCGCTATTCTCACAAATCAGCAAAAGGAAAATGTCTAAAAGGGCATTAAATCTTCGAAACATGAAATTTATTTCATAATTTGGACAAAATATGCCAGAAATTAAGAGTTCAGGCTGAGTTTGTGGAGTACATCTAACTGAATCTGTTCTGTCCCCAATTCTACATTATCTGAGCAACAAAAACTGATTGACAAACAAATAACAAATAGCTTTAGAGTTCGTCCGTGATTGAACGCTCGCTCTCTGCCTCGCTGTGGAGCTGTGCGTCGGCATCCTGGCCGTCCCAGGGTATAACGCTGCGAATGGGCGGCTTTTGGGCGCAGTTAACAGTTGAAGTTCTGCCACGCCCCTTGACAATGTCGCCCAGAAATTCATTCAGTGCAGCTACCGAGAATGAGCCCTTGAAGACGGCATATCGCATTCTGCGGCAATTGACCACCACCAGAGCCGGATAGCCAAAGCCGCCCACGCGCAGACCCCTCTCCAGGGCCGGCTGCTGGCCGCCCTCGGTCCAGACCCAGCCCCAGCCCTGCTGCGCCGGATACTTGGCGCACAGTTCACGTAAGGTGCCGAGCAATTTGTTGCGGCACTTGGCATTGCAGTCGAGCAGCGTCGGCAACACAGAGATAACACACCAAGACTTGTGGCCGCAGGCATTAAACAAACTCGCCTCGTCCGTGATCTCGGCCACGTTGGGTGCGAGTGCCGCCGGCTTGCTATTGGCCCAGCTGATGATGGCCGCCGCAGTGCGCTGGCCGGAGTATTCGACTGCGTCGGCGGGCTGCTT